AAAATCGTGTTGAAAAAAAGGTGTCTCGCTTTCGAACCTTTTGTGCACCATATGTTTGATGGGCACCATCAGCAAACATTGAAATATTTGCTTTTGTTTCCCCACTACACAGGGTAATATTCCCAAATCATCACAAAGGAAAATAGAGTAGTTTTTTGTTTCATATTTTCCTTTGCTTGCTTGGGAAAATGTTAATGTTTTAATTTCGAGCACAAATACAAGAGACAACCTTGCCCGGCTATAATAAATAAAAAAGTGTTTGCCACCGAGAGACACTTAAATTGGTGTACCTTTTTTTTTTGGAAGGAAATCCTTTGAGGCTTTTGTGGCATTTTGTAATTTTCCAAAATGTCCCAAAAGTCCATGTGTATGTACAGTGTAGATATATAAATGCTGGGTATCCCAGAATATTACAGGTGTCAAGTGTGTGTGTCGGTGTGTGTGTACGCGTGAGAGTTTCATGTTAGTTTTGTACAAACACATTTCTTTCCGCCCCTTAGCACCTGTTATGTATTTGTGCTGGGGTAGGTCTTTTTTAATTTCATTTCCAGGCCATTTTTGTGTTTGTGTTTTTTTTTCTTGCGTTTCCTCTTTTCTGTTCATACTCGGGCATCATAATATGAAACATGGCAAAAACACAGAAATTGTGCTGTTAATATTTAATTATGCTGTGGCTTAAATACAAACACTCGGCTACCGAAAATCCCTCTCAGCACCCAGCATCCCCCCAATCTATACACACACACATGGTATATGACAATATCTTGAAATGAAATGAAAAACTCTTAGGTATACATCAATTTTTGGGTAGAGGTAAACTTGGAGTTTATTATTTTGTTTTTCTTTACAAAGGTATACGGAAAAGGATATTTGTTGTTTTGTAAAATTGTGGGTGTTTTTACTTCTCAACATTTAGGCTATATTATGAAATGGTTTTTTCCTAGAAGATGGTGAGGCATTTGTGCAGGAAAAAAATTGTAGATGAAATTCTTCAATTAAACCTATACTGCCTAGGAAAATTAATTTAATAAAAATGAAAGCAAAAGTTCTTTCCTTTCGACCAAAAACATCTGACAGTTTCTTTAGAGAATATTCTTGTTAGGGTTTGATTTTTTCAATGTTTAAATTTGGAATCGCGGAAGATTTTGTGGTCATTTAAAAAGGACATTTGAGATTTGTCCCATTCCAGATCATATTGTCACATAAATTTTATATTTGGAGCATTCAAATGAAATATAAAACAGATTTGAAGACTCATGGTAAAATTGTATATTTACAAACAATTTTTAGATTTTTTTAAAAGAGACACTTACAAATGAGGATAGAATCTAATAATATTTCTTTATTTCTCCTTCGTAATGAACTTATAATTGAGGAAGTACAGGGTGCGATAAAAAAACAGCCACAAAGTCAAATGCCATAATTTTTGATTTTTTTTTTAAATTTTTTAAATGCAAGCAAAAATAGTAGCAAAGTTTAGATTTGTTGGAATTGGTCACCTTTAGCTCGAATTACGTCCTTCAAATGGCCAATAAAATTGTCAGACGTGACTGAGCCCTGTTGGAATGTTTAAGGTCTGCGGACAAAATATTTGCGTGCCCAAGTCTTTAATACACCCTCCAGAATATTTTTGCGATAATATTCGGCATTTGTTTTGATTAATACGAGCGAAGAGCGACCATCGGCTCTTATGGGGGCCCACACCATCACCATGACCCGCGCTTGAGTTCTGGTGGCCAACCGAAGGTGCACATTTTCAGATGACCTCTTTGGCAAGAAAACACGATCATTTGGTTATTTACAAACTGCTGGACAACGAATGTTTTCTCATCAGAGAAAACCAAATTCGGCAGCGAAGACGACAGATTTATTCACATTTAAATATTAGAGTGCTCTAACGATAGCCACTTGTGGTTTTCCAGCCAAATATAAAGAAATCACACTATCACGCTTGAATTCCATCACGAATAACTTTGTTTCTGGAAAATTTTCATCAAAATGCTTTTAAAGCTTGTAAACAATATAATGAGCTGTCACTGGAATAATGTTAATAGCTGTAGGACGAGTGGCTTAGAAATGACAGCAGTCTGAAGTTGGTTGCAGTTTTTTCACCTCACCCTGTATATCTGTGTCCGTCCTTTCCTCTGTTCATTTTAATTTTTGAAAATAACAGGATTGAGGTCAGAAAATAAGTTGAAGATCATCAAAAACTCTCAATTCAATTCTCGATTTTTTTCCTGATTTGGCAGTCGGTCTATAGGTCACAATCAGAGGGCTGCAATGAGTATGATTGAGTAGGCTTGATCACACACAGTGGAAATACAATCCAGCTCAATCAGTCGGTCAGATGCAACATGTTCACTCGATTCACTCAAGCCAAACGAAAAAATTGTGATCAAACATGTATTGATCGAAATTTTGTGATCGCAATCAAACAGCTCACATGAGTTATTTGTTTACGAACTTATGATGAATTGTTCATAACGGGTCGATCATCTATAATGAGTCTGATCGGTTTTATTTATCCTAGTTAAGTGAGTGATTTGATTTGATTAAAACACAAATGTTCGAATTTGAGCGAAATCATGATTGTAATTTTACTAAGGATTTCATAACTAAAAGATGTCCCCATTAAAGAAATTGGTACAAATTATATTTAATAAGCATACAATTTTTCATTTTATTTGGGTTTTTGGTATACTAGACTTCAGTAACTTATTTGGAAAAAAAAAACAAAATTAAATTTTTTAATAAATTGGTATTTAGAAAACTAAAAATGTTTAAATATTTTTTTTTTTTAATTTTACAATATTGGTCAAGATTTTTCACAAACCTCATGTTTGATTGTGAGTGAAGTGATTCAAACTGAGTGTTCGATTCGATCAGAAGCGAAAACGGTCATTTCATTCAGATCAAACTAAACGACTGCATCAACAAAAATCATATAAGAATCCGAGTATGCTTGAATTTTTGCATACTCGTTGCAGACCTCTGGTCACAATTATATAGACCAACCGACGTCGAGTTTTGCGTGGAATAGGAGTTTAGAACAGGGCAGAAGCCCATAATATTGGATGCTCATCGGAATACATATAGCGGGAGAAATTTAGCATAACTTGTGTGTGCAAAAGACTAATATTTCCGGTAAACCGCGAAATTTTGCTGTCCGATAACTTTTAGCTCCAACTTAAACTACAAAAAACTTTAAAGGTAGGTCACACTTTTCTACATCCCTCATATAGCGATGCTTGTATATGTTTATACCTTCCACCATTCTATGGTCTATTGTAATCACGCTATCTTTCAAACGAATTAAAATATAAGGCTAAAATCTTGCACACATGTGTATTTCGTAGGCTTGTTAAGTTCGTAAATGAACCATGTCAGTCTACGCTTTTGTATAGGCCCAATATAACGATATCTCCCAATATTCGACATTTTTATGATTTTTGCCACATTTTTCACCGGAATTGTTTGAAATTTCGTATTAAAGGTTCGTAATGGCCCATGACAAAAAATTGCGTACGCAGGCCCACGTCTTTGTATAGCCGCCCAATATTTCGTATTTTTGTGACTTTATAGACATTATAGACCGGAATTGTTTCAAATTTTGTATTTGAAGTTCGCAATGGGAGTTACAATCTATGAGAAAAAATTATCTATTCGCCGGAATTGTTTCAAATTTCGAAATTGAAGTTCGAAATCGGAATTTTTTGGACGATTTTTTTTTTTTTGAAAATTTTCATGTTTCTTCCAAATGGTGGAGGGTATTCAAAGTTCACTCCTGCTGAACATATCTGTTTTTTTTTTACTTGTTAGTATATGGGTTGCTGTTGAATAGAAATTCGCCGTACGAACAATTTTCAACGTCGGCCCACCTATTGATATGAGTCCCATTTTATATTTTGAGGTTTTGAAGGTAAAAAATAGAGATATTGCGGTAAGAAAATATATCTTTGTTCTTGCTAAGGACTACGACTTCCTGCAAAATATCGCGAAAATGCAGTTCTTTTATGCCCTTTATCTTGGTAATCATAATCCAAAACATATCTGAAACATTAATTAAATCTACATTGAGGGAGTATACATTGAGGGAGACATTCAGTATAAGAATATGCGTATTTATCTAACAAATGCATTAATCCATTTCAACCGCCGAATATTATTCCACGATCATAAATCTGACAAATTTTTGAAGTTTTTTTATATGTAGCTCTTTCTCTCTCGCCTATTTGACATTTCACAAAAATTGAAATTCCATCGATCCGTAAGTTTGTAATATATGTTTTTGGGAACATTTAATATTCCAACGTAATATATTACTATCACCATTTACCATATCTATCAAAGTCATTCTCTAGGCAAAATTTTAAGCTATCGGTCCATAATTGCCACCGGGAGTTGGATTAAATATATAAATATCAAACGGATATGCGAGCATACATAGCTAGATCGAAGCAGTTTGTAGAAATACGACTAATGGAACACCAAGAGGTGTGTCCAGAGACAATATTTCCCGATTCTGCAAACGTCGACGGTCAAACACAAGCCTATATTACCCACTCCGCATAGTAATATAGGCTATAAATATATTATGTATGCAAACGTTTTTAACTTTTCTTGGAACACATGAGAACAATACGCGTTCGTTAATCGCTTTAAAATTTGTGGAGATGATGTTTTTTGTCTTCTTCATGATGTTTTAACGAGAAGGATGTCCTGTATCTGACATTTTTTTGTTTTTTGCTGAAATGGTGAACACCCACACAAACACAAAAGCCAAAAAAATCTACAAACGAATTTAGGAAGCAAACAAAATTTTATTAATTATTCCTTTTATTTGTATTTTTTGGTTATTAATAAAAGCGAACACTAAACCACATATGCACAAAAATCAAACCTTACACTACTTAAACATATTAGTAAATAATTTAAAAGCAAGGCATTATAAATATTTGATGGGTATATGAAACATATGTGTATTGAATAAATTTAATTACTTTAATTTATTATTTGATCCCTTTGGAATCCCAAAAACTGCAAATGATGTACTTCGTTTTTGTTTTTATTTTCATTTAACTACTATTATTATTTTCTTTATAATAAATAAGTATTTCTTTATTTTTATTTATATTATATATTTCTTTTTGATTTTTTTCACCAACAACAACTAAAATTTCCACTTGTTTTGACTAACATTTCTCTTTTTTTTTTTTTGCTATTTACTATGTGGGAGAGTTGTAACACATTATTTACACACTATAACATATTCTTATTTTTTTATTGAATACTATTTAATTTTCTTAAATTTTTCCACTATTCAACTTGAGATATATATTTACTTCTTTAAATTTGTATCTTTATTTGAATTAAACATTTAACAATAATAAACACATTTAAATATTTCCTTTTAAACAATTATTATTGTATTTATTTATATATTTATTATTTTTTTCATAACGTTAATTTCTATAATTCACCGTTAACATGTCATAACGTCGGAAAAGCTACACGAAAACTGGTTGGGAAATTACTGTTGAAAATAATTGTACTCCTGTTTTTTCGTTCGCAGATGCCTTGCTGCCATGCCTTGTAATGGGGAAAATTTCTCTGCTCTCCATGCTCTTCCACTCTCAATTGTATATTTCACTCTCTCGCATTGTGTGAAATAAAATTATTTTGCAATTGTTTGGTATTTTTGCAATATTGTTTGATTCACTCTCCTGGTATTTTTCTGTTTGTTTGTTTATTTGTGAGAAGTAACATTGGAGAGAGAGAGAAAAAAACACATTTTGCGAGAGCAGACATGTGTTTTTTTTTTCCTAAAATTACTTGGAATTTATCATTACTTGATGACCGACATTTTTTTTATTGCTTGCTATATATTTCTGTATATATTGCGTTGTTAGAAAACACATTGTAGTTTTTAATTCCTTTTTGTTTATATTTTTCTCCGTTTCCATATGTTTGATGGGAAAATGTTGTTCGAACATATGGTGCTTGTTAAGGTAGGCATTTGAATTTTCACTTTCATTTGAATGGGAAAAATTCTGTTGAACCTGTTGCAGTGAAGGATAGGGGAGGTTGATAAGGGTAGGAGGGGAGATTTTATGAAAACGGATAAATCTTCATCAGCAAAAAAGTTTATATTATAAGAAGTTAGTAAGAAGCTGCTATAGATGAACGACTGGCTATAGGAATCTTAAGAATCGGTCTATAAGGATTTTTCTTTATTTAAAATTACATAGAGGTTTTGGTCTATAGAAAACTAGGTGTTTTCTATATAAGGTGTTTCTTGGTATAAAAGATATTTAAAAGTTTTTTGGTCATAGAAAAAAGTTTTACTTCTTATAAATGTGTTCTTCTTTTATTCTGACCATAGAATAGCTTCACAATCTTCATTCCACAGAAGACCTCTAGCAGGTCTTACTAAAAAAAAGATTATCGTTTAAAGCAGTGTTCAGAACATATTCGATCTGTCTACATAAGACCTGCCTACGGAAGACTCATAGAACAATTTTTGTCTATAGAAGACCTGAAAAAGTCTCATATCTATAAAATACTTATATATGACCTTTGAAACGTTTACTGCCAATAACATTACTCTCGAAGGATCTCTCTCTCTTTTGCCCTTTAGAAGAGTGTATTTTGCCCATGTCACCCCCCATTCCGTCTATAGAGACCTATTTGTTTATAATATTTCCTCTATTGAAGTACTTGCCAATATAATACTAAGGAAAGCCTCTAGACAATAAAAATCCTTCAGAAACTCTTCTGTCTATATAAAATATATAGACGACCTTTAGAAAGCTTCGTCCATAAAAGTCTTTTTGAAGATCTATCTATAAAATATCATCAGAAGGTCTTTACTACACGCCTCTAGAAAGAGTCTATAAAAGACCTGTAGAAAAAATATATTTCTTCATTAAAATGAGGGACTCTAATCAATATAAGAACTTCAAATAGCCTGCTGTCCATGGCTATGGAAATCCTGTACAAGGTCTTCCATCTGTAAAAGGTCTAAATGAGGATTTTTGTGTACGGAACGCATTTCAAGGTCTTCTCTCTAAAGAGAAGCTATATAGGTCTTCTGTCTCTAGAAGGCTTGTAGAGGGTCTCCTGGTTATAAAAGATCTCTTGAATATTTTCTGAATATAAAAAATATTAAGCAGATCTGTCTCCATCTTCGGAAGAACAATTCTGACTATAAAAAAATTCTGTGGGTATGTATCTATGAAAGGCCTGTACATGGTCTAAAGAAGACCTCTAGAAGGTCTCCCGCCTATAGAAGATTTCTAGAATATTTTCGAGATATAGTAGATATGTCTCAATGTTGGGAATAGCTTAGTTTCATCTTTAGAAGACCTTGGGGATCTTCACAATTTCCCTCTGTACATAGCAGACCTTCAGATTTTCTTCTGTATGTGGATAGATAGATAGACTTCTTTATAACAAAGGCCTTGAGACAGTCCTCTGTAGAAGGCCTTCAACTGATCTTCTCTGTATAGAAGGCCTTCAGACGGTATTCTGTGTATAGTAGGCCTTCAGACGGTGTCCTGGGTATATCAGATTTCGGACAGCCTTCTGGGTATAGTAGGCCTCTGGGTATATTGACCTTCAGACGGCCTTCCGTGTTGACAAGACCTTCGGACTGCCTTCAGTATACAGAAGACTTTCAGACGGCCTTCCATATGGAGAATGCCCTCAGGGGAGGCCTTCAGAAAATCTTCTGTATCGAGAAGGTCTTCAGACGGCCTTCTACATAGAGAAGGTCTTCAGACGGCCTTCTGTATAGGGAAGGCCTTCAGACGGCTTTCCGTATAGAGAATGCCTTCAGACGGTCTACTGTATGGAGAAGGTATTTAAACGGACTTGTCCCTTCGGACGACCTTCCATATAAAGAAGGCCCTCAGACGGACTTCCGTATAGAGAATGCCTTCAGACGATTTTCCGTATAGAGAAGGCCTTCAGGCAGTCTTCCGTATAGAGAAATGCGTTCTCTTCTTGAAATCCCTCTTCTATAAAGAAGATACGGTGGACAGCATCATTATACCCCTTAGTATATTCGCAAAATCCTTGTATATTGTTTTTTAAACATTTATCTCGCATGCAATAATTTTGTTACTTTGCCTTCGTTTTCTCTCGGTAATCTCTCAGCAAAATTCCCACCTCAAACGAATTAGAGAAAATATACCCAATATTTTCTCTCTCTCGCTCTCTTGTTGCTCTTACGCATACACTCAACTAATTATCCCAGAAAATTTCCCCGATTTTGTTTTGTAGCATTAAAAACAACAACAGCAACACATTGCAAGCGAAAAAAAAGCTTTACAATTTTCCCAAACGAAAGAAAAATTGCACATTCCTTTTGCGTTTTGTGCGGGGCTATAGCAAACAAGCAAAAGCAGATACAAACACAAATGTCACTGACGACGAGAACACAACGAGGAAAAATTCCCTTTTTCTTAGAGCGTGTGTGTGTATGTATATGTGTGTGCGAGTAAGTGAGTGAGTTATGTGTGATTTTTCCGAACACACAAAGGCAGAGGCTTGTCTTGACTGTGTTTTTGGGGATGCCTACCTGTTGCTGCTGAGAATAAGTTGTCTTCTCTTGTCTGTCACTTGTGTTTGTATGTCAATTTTGGCAAGTTACCCATAATAAACTATTTTGTAAAAATAATGTATTATAATGTATTAATGTATTATATTTAAAGTGTAGTATAAAGCGCAACACAAAATACTTTCAATTTCGATATTGACGCTGGTTTTGTGTTGTGTTTTCTTTTGGCTTTGGCATTTCCACACGAAGCCAAAAGGGATGAAAATACAAATTTCATTTTAATTGTATGAGTGAGAGTAAATGTTGAATGTAGTATATTTGTGAGTGTGTGTCGGTATGTGTATTATACAGCACTACTTGCAATGAATATACATATATTTATATATATATATATATTTTTCATGCGCTTAATGACGGCTGAGCAGCTGTTGCTTTGAAAAAATAAAAAATGAAAGAAAGAAACAAAGCAGGGCATCTCTTATAAATGAATATGGGACATTTTTCTGAGATATGCTTCCCGTTTCCTTCCTCTACCATATTTGTTTTGAATACAGGGTATAGATAACAGAGAAATACAAAATCAAATTATTTGAATAACGAGGCTAATGATTTAGTTTTGTCGACTGCATTACTATATTTTGCAAACAAAATGCTAATTTATATGACATCGATATTACTGACAATTGTGTAAATGGCGACATTGTGATTGTGAGGGTGATATTTATGGAAGATTTTAGGAATGACGACTCTAAGTCACAAGAATGATTAATTACAGGAATAAAGGATGTAATATCAACAACAAAAATCACAAATTGAACATCTCAACAAAATCGCTTTAAAATTCCTATAAATGTTTGAAAATTAGCTTGGTATATATTTTAGACATATTTTTCAATAATGGGACCATGCGGACATGCTGTTTACAAATACAGAAGACGAAATGTCATTCATCAGTCAAATTTGTGAGACTACATTGAAAAGTACCCATATATAGTATATAAACCACGGTGGGATATATACTATATTATGAGATGTAATATGCTTCTCTCCGAGGGAGTTGTCAGATACAATCCGCCTAGGGCTATATGCTTTGGTACGCTTCGTTGGGGCCAAAGGGGTTTTGCCATTAGCTATTCAAAAAATGGCCAAAAGGGTGTTGGTCTGAATCAAAAATATGCGAATGTTGACAAAGGAGTCTTTAGAGCAGAACACTGACAAGCTTTCGAAGAAGACCATAAGCCCCCACCTTCTAGTGCTGTTAATAAACGACACGGAATGAAGGTTGTCCCCAGAAGGACACGCGATTTCTTCTTCAGAGTATGGGGTTTCCGCAAAATAATCGCAAATGGTATAGAAAAATAGTCTTGGTTCTGGCACCACAAACAAAAGCTATCAAAAGACTCTTCTTGTAAGACAAGACAAGATAAAAAGTTATGTTTACAAGGTGAGATAAAAAAACTGCAACAAATTTTATTTTTTTTTTACATTTTTGAATGAAAGCAAAAATGTCGGAAATAGCATCAAATTTTAGAATAAGTTTTGATTTCTCCGAATTGGTCACCTTTGGCACGAATTATGGTTTTCAAACGGCCAACGAAACCGTCACATGCTGCCCGAATGTTGCTCTGCGTTATTTTGGCCCATTCCCGGCGAAGCGCTTGCTTGAGATGATCGACTCTTTCCGTATTCTTTAGTGCCAACCTTGCTTTCCAAAATGCTCCAGACACTATAGTCCAAGGGATTAGTATCCGGAGATTTTAGTGGCCATTGTGCGATGGAAATGAAGCGAGGAACCTTATTTTGTAACCATTCAGTGCGTGCCCAAGGCTTTAATACACCCTCCAAAATATTTTCGCGATAATATTCGGCATTTGGCAGTTCACCACTTTAGGCCAAGTGAAGCAACTCTTTAGCTCTTTTGAGTCTATTTTCTTTCTGTTTCGATGCAAGTTCTTGCACTTTT